TGGCTTCCCGTGGCCGATTGCCTCCAACCATTTAATATCATCTAATCAATGTGCACCGTGATGACGAGCTACCTAGAATGGTGGCCACATTGCAAACCTGACTGATAGAATTTTGTCTGCACCAAAGAAAGGACTAGACACATGACACTAGTTACTATTTATTTATTTATTTATTATAGCTTGATTCCACACCGTATTTGTGGTACAAGTATGGAATTTTCAGCATGTGATATCGGTAGCCCAATTTTGCAGGCCAACCATAGATATCGGGTGTGCGCCGGCAGGGGATCGAACCCCGGACCATGTGCCTGGTCGGCGAGAGTCCTAACCACTGTGCCACCGACGCAGTGTCCAATCAAAGAAAACTGCCTAGTTGGGATCTTAGAGATGCTAAGAACCAAGAGTTGGAGACTGTCAGTGATATCGTTCTCAGTAGCACAGATATGCATTCATTCTATGTGATATCGAGTAACTGTTAAGCTCTCATGTTTATTCTTGTGACTATTCTTTCTTCTACACATTTCTGTTCATTATACTTCTTTAGAACCTCTTCTCTGTAAGTATGTGTGATATATATGGAGGCTATGCGGCTACGTGAAGGGCTGTACTTCTGTGCAAGGTTGAAACCCAGTCAGTTTGTCCACTGATTAATTGAAAAAACTAAGATATGCCTGTTTCTTTCACTTCTTTCAAACACTATTAGTATATTTCTTCAAGAATTGACATCAGTCAGAAAATTACTGGAAGGCAAGGAACACTGTTTCGCTCATCGTTTCATCCTAGTTTGGAAATCTTCATTCCTGTGTATTCATGAATACTATTAGGGATCGAGTCCAGGACTTATAGATTACAAGGGCAATCAATTGACTATTCACAACTAGTGGGTTCGAACAAGTGTGGTGTGACCTGTCTCTGTTAGCCAAAATTGGTAGACAGCGATTTACGTCAATGCTTACGTTCCAAATAGGGGTAACGAGAAAAAAGGAAACAAGAACAAGGACTAACTCAACAACCAATCACAACAGCAGACTTTGCGTGGGCGGATACGATTCGCAGATATATATGGTCTGACCTTCAAAGAAATGGCCACAAAGAGATGACAGAATAACCTTCAGCAGGAAAACAACCAATCAGAAGACGCTGTTTCTCTGCTAATTATAACGAATAATAATGTACATAAAAATATATAAATATCTCTTGATTTCCTCGATAAGCGATCTGTTGCCTGGCCGGCTTTGTCTTCTGTCATTACACAAGAAATTATGGATACTCATCGATATGACTGAGCAGTGGTAACGCAACATATCATGAATTAACAGGAATTAAAATTCATAGCTTTGTAACGTGAACGACCTGAGTTTGATATCCGGTGGGATCCAGTGCTCTTTTGGTTTTCAATGATTCTCTGACTACCTGATGTTGTTGGTTCATGAAAAAGTCTACACTGAAATTTATTCAACCCATAATCTGAGTACTAATAAGGATAAAAATAATGTTTAAAAAAAACCTATCGCGGAACCAGCTGTTTAAAAATTCATAATATACTGAGCCTCATTTTGTACCTGGGAATCTCTATGATATCAGAACTAATGATAACTTTGCTTTTTATACATTAGTGGCCGCATATATATGATTGTATTTGTGTGTGTGTGTATATATATATACCTAAGGAATTAATTAACTAGGCTTGACAACATATCGTCAGAAAATTATACTCTGCCATATCGTTGCATAACTGACTCTCCATCTTTTAGTTTCTTGACTTCAACGACCGGAATACAATACACTACAGTACAATACCCAAGGGAAATTAATTTTGATTAGGAGAAGGAGAATTCAGAAGGGACAGGAAAAAAATAGACTAGTGCATGGGGATCTACAACTTAATGAGTGCTGATGGGAGAAGTATTTTTTTTTGCTGATAAACAAATCCAGCACTGTTCTTCTAACAGTGGAAATATTCCCAGCATAGGGTAATTTGATTTCGTGTAAACACAGGCAAATACACACACATACACGCAGAGAGGATACAGTAATATACATTTATGGATGACGTTTCGAGAACAAATGTGATTACTGAAACAATAAAAAAGATTTGTAGCTCAGGTAGATGATTTGCAATTAATAGTGTCCTTTGAGCTGGTAGGTTTGGTTGCGGAGCTTTCGTTGTCCTTCTGAACAACATCCCCTTCAGCGCAATATCTAGGTACGTTACTTTGATGATACACTTGTAATAATTAAGAGAAATGATTTGGAATATACCCATAAATTAATAAACATTATTTTTGAAGGCATCAAATTCACAAGAGAAGAAGAATTAGACGACAACGAAATCCCATTTTTAGATGTCTTAATCAGGAAAACCAACACAGGAAATTTAGAAACACAAGTATATAGAAAATCAACGCACACACACAGATCAAATACTCAACTATACTAGCAATAATCCAACCCAATTACTCACAAACGAAACTGTGTGCAGACATTGTTTAAAAGAGTTCAAACACACAGTGTAGCACTCCAGAGTTCAAAAGAATGGAAGAAAAATACCTACAAACGGTTTTCAAAAAGAATGGATATCCACACAAAATTTCATCAAAAAGTGTTTGAAGTCGAATCAAAACACCAACAAAGAACCATCATCAAAGACCACAAGAAAATTCATCCTACCATACATGAGAAATATCTCTGAAATAACAGCTAGAATACTGATACCGTTTGAAAAATACATAGCGCGCAAGCCAGCCAGTCAGCACAATCACTTCATTCGATATTGTGAGAACCGAAAGATCCACACAACAGAAAAAGAAGATAGAATTAATACCATTTACAAAATAAATTGCATGTACGAACTGTAACAGACATTACATCGGTGGCCGAAGTAGGCGTCCCCTTCGAATTAGAATCCAAGAACACAAATCAGCTGTGATGAAAAGACACGATATGTATTCTTTCATATCAGTGCATATAGATAATTATGGACATCAGTATGATGACTGGGATAATATCAAAATCTTAGACAGAGGAAACACCACAAGTGCAGTCAGGGAATTCCTAGAAGCCTGACACTTAAACGGAAATGCAATTAACAAACACGTTAATATAGACGAAATATACCAACTAACAAAAAGTAAATCAGGTGACCAGAAAGTTTAAAATCCAAGTCAATAGAAAATGGTCAATACACATGTAAAGATGGTTACCGGGAGACGCAATTATACCACTCATGAAGAAATTTAAATCATTTCACTTTACGCTAAGTATTGCGCTGAAAGGGGATGTTGTCCAGAAGGACGACAAAAGCTCCGCAACCAAACCAACCAGCTCAGAGAACACTATTAATTGCAAAACTGTGATTACTGTTCATAATCATCATCATCGTATCAAGCTGTGGTCACTTACGCGATAAACAACGTAAACAAAAACTCAGATTGGTACGTCAGAAAATCTAAATAATGCAATAATTAAATGTATAGAATAAACGACAGCGCTGAATAACTCCCGTAAAATTCATTAGGAACTTCAAAACAGTGACACTATTAACCATAGTACAGATAAGGAAGAATTTAAGGCATCTACAGTAGTTTTACCGTATAAGGAAGGGATATCTGAAAAGCTTATTAATTTGTTTATGAGATATATCACACACAGTGAGTGGAACAGTATTATTATTTCCTGGATGACACAGTTTCGAACGGATACAGAGGGCCAGTTTACGCCGTCTCTGGCGTAGATGTGATATCTGACTATCGACCAAAGGGCGTGTGTACTGCTCATCAGTCCACTCCGTCCGCCTTTATGGCTGTGAGACCTGACAATTGAGAGTGGAAGACATGAAACATCTAGCTGGCTGTCTTTGATCATAAGTGTCTGCGTTCTATCTCCGGTGTAAAGTGGTATAATAGGGTGAGCAATATTGAGGTAAGCCATCGATAAAGTGCTAGGTCAGGAGGGGAAATCAATAGACGAGGCTGTGAAATTACATCGACTGAGATGGTTAGGACATGTGTTACGTATACCCAGCCTAGTCATCACCTTCCTCGACAATGGGCAATGTTAGCTGACATAGGGTCAGGCTGGAAAAGAGCTAGTGGCGGTCAAACTAAGACATGGATTCACCAGTCAATGAAATCCACAACAGTTAGTTTAAGCCAGTCACGTAGGAAGGTGTAGACTTCCTGACTGGTTTGGGTCATCGGGACGGTAAAAACCAATGACAGCTGGAGACAATTGGTGACATGGCTCAAAATCGTTGTCAATGGCGCAGATGCATCACTCCTTGTAACTTATAATAACTAATAAAAACTGTATGGTTCTTCCATATATTACTATTCTTTTTGCCTCATATCTCCGTCTACTGTCTCTATTTTGCATTTCTTTTTTACTTATTTCTCTTGCTTTGTGTGCTATATGGAGTGTGGCGACTTGAACTGCTGCACATCGGTGCAAAGTTCTTTGTTGAAACCAGCCAGTCAGTCAGGCAGACTTTAACTCATTGGTTGGATGAAAAGATAGCCACTACGCAGAAGGAAATCTCCCTTGAACTGGACCCCTCTTGGCCAATGGTGTTCACTGATGAACAGTTCCAAGGTTACGAAGAAATATCAGTCGTGATGAAATCTAGCAGCTGGAATTAATCCGAATCCCTACAAACAGAAAGCCATGATCTAAAACTCAGTCAATCTCCAGGACATTGACGACTAATGGATTTATGTCCTAAATCTGTGCTGAGAAGTCGTGACCAGTCCCGTCCACCAGGTCAAGGTGATGTTGATTGATGGTAGCTCTATATCGCGAATCGACAGAATTTAGAACTCGCGGGTCATTGAATTTCTGTCTCGGATTCGACCACTGGTGAGGTTGTGGGTGCACACATTTCTGAAGAGTCCACCAAAAACTAGGACGAAACAGCCAGCTATCCACTACTCCCTAGTTGGTTTGCGACGAAGCAATAATCTTTTTTTATATATATGCATACACATACATTATTACACACTTACAGCAATAAACGCTGGATCCATATCATTTTTCACCATATATGCCTGTAATTCTTCTATTGTAATTGTCTCTAAAATTAGAAAAACAAAAATATAAATATCAATCAATCAATCGATTAATTGGTCAACTGACCAATCAAAATTCACGAAAATATTCAGAGGAAGATATATATGTATATCGATATGCATAAAATCGATCGATGAAATCGATTTTTCTGTTGTTGTTTTTTTTCTGTAATCAACACACGCAGATTAATTAACACAAATTAGCCAAAGAAACGTTTTAAAAAATATTTTTTTCTCAGAAGAAACAGAGAAAAACAACAATAACAAATTTGTTTGTGATAATAATCAGATTTTAGTATGAACATATATTGAACGAATTTGCAATGATATGCATTAGTATGGAATACTGTAAGAAAATGAATGACTATCGATATTCAAAAGCAGGCTAACAGGCTATACAATATAGATAGATATCTTGGGTTGTTCTCTTGCGTTGTGAATGGAATATTGGGGCTTCACAAAAACACATCACTATTTCATCCTCTTCTCTGCAGTCTCTTTCAGCTAGCTCCGTGATTAACCATAATCAATCATCTCCTCCTCCCACGATATACAACATGTCACTGTCGGACCTAAGCCCAACTCGTCGTTTTCTATTCAGGTTAGGCCAGAGAGCCTGGCACATGATGTCACTCAACGGTATCCTCCGACAGTGTCCAATCCATCTCTATTTTCCATCTACATATTTTAGTGGTTCGTTGCCTACCAGACTTCCATGTTCCTAAGCCTTTCTACCCATCTGATCTTTAGTATGATGGTATGGGGGGGTGCGTTCTCACCACTTGAGTGTCTAAAGTTTAACTATGCAAATGAAAGCGTTACAATTAAACCATCGATTTCAGAAAGGGCAGTTTAAAAAACATTCTGATCCTGAGCTCTGTACAACAAACATATGCTCATCCAAACAACCTGTGAAAATCGATCGCAATCTTATATTGACCATCAGACATTCCTGTATGTATGACAATCAGATGAACGACAAATATCTAACTGATATTTAGAGATGAGGATCTAATTGAAAAGTAAATATTTCTTCGCTGAATCTTTCTGTTTTTTAAAAGTCTGAATAAGGATTTTTTCTACATTCAAACTTGAAAAACAAACCCTGATCCTTACAAATCAACTCTTGCTCGAGAACATCTCCCACTATGACTAAGTAAAGGTGTAGTGAAAACCATTAACAGTTCGATATTGGACCATCTGGTCCAAACCTACCGGCCACAAAGCCAGCCAGAATTGAAGAATCCTTCTCTATCATCTACCGCGTGCCTAATAAATTGCCAAAATCATCATCGAAGCACCACATGCTCCAAACAACAGAGGCTATTGCAATTCACCTCAAATAACCAGTGTTCTGTGTTCAAAAGAAGCAAGTTCAACCAGCTAACCACTACTACTGCCCTGGCCAGTCTTCAGTAGAGACTAAAAATTCACGAATTTGTAATATTATCTTTCCTAATTTTTCTGACATTCAGTGTGTATTGTTATTTTGATGCTATTGAAGTGTAATCTATTGATTTTATTGATTCGATGTTATTTAAACAACATTAATGTTGTTGTTCATAACACTAATTCACTCATTCACTATAATGTGTATATAACTGTAGAGCCTGATGAAGAGCAGGTTATCGAAAAGAGTACTCTTTGTTCAGTATCCATTTTCTTGAAAATTAATGTGATCATGCTAGTGACTTGCTACAGGACGAATTTGCCTGGATTTCTAATGAGAAGTTGTCACCAGTGAGGTTGTTGGTAGAGCTAAAATCACGAATTGGTAGAGGTTAGAATTCATGGACTGCCCACTGAATCGGGTCCCACAGTGGCTGAATGGTATACGAGCCAGCTTGCCTTGTAACCGGAAAGTCATGAGTTCGAACCCCTTTGGGAAGGGTGCGTACGTACTTCCCATGAGTCCCAAACATCTGTCCACTATTGTGTGGTGGTTTTCAATGGTTCTCTAACTGATATCAATCCATGGTCTAAATCGAAAAACAAATCAAATCCCCCGCAAAAAAAATCAATTCTTGAAAATATCTATCCCCTAGAGTTTTGTATAACACTGTTTGCCTAGATGAAAAATTTAAACTATAACAAACATCATGGTATATATATATATATATATATATATATATATATAGAGAGAGAGAGAGAGAGAGAGGGAGGGGGAGACAGGAGACTTTAAAACGACCAATCATATCACACATATGTTTCACATGTGTTGCATTCACAATCTTTCCCTAAGTTTGTTGTTGTAAAGGAAAGGAAAACTGTCCACTGTAAGTTAAACTGTTTATATATTTTCAAAATACAATTTTATACATACAAATTAATTATTCATAAAGTTCTTTTCCCGTGATTGTTTTTTCGAGGTCATTTTTGAAGGTCGTTCGTGGCGGTCACTTTAACTTTTCTGTGATGTAAAAGTGAAGTGAAGTTAAACTACCACAACCACCAAAGTCAAGGTCAGTGAAAAATTGACATTGAAAAAAGAGCCAATCACATCTAGATCACACTGCGAAAGGTTATTCCAAATCAAATCCTACCTGCTTTGATAAATTTGGTGAGAATAGGCACTTTTTTTCATGCGAATCGACACTGTCAGGTTGAGGTTTAGTGTTTTTAGGATTCAGCTTAGGTTTGGAGTTTATGGTTAAGGGTAGGAAAACAATGTCAGGAGTATCAGTGGATCTTAAAGTACCATAATCTACAGAACAACAGTAAGGAAGAGATACTACAGCTAGACAAACTATGAACTAATCAAATCAGGCAAAGTTCAACAATAGCGTCCCAAGGGATGCGAACGCACGACTGACCTACAGCCGACCAATCATAAAAATGAGGAACTTTTGCACAAAAGTGACGTATATTTACAAGAAAATGCATGAAAACACATTAAACAGGTTATCTTTCTCTGACATGACTTAAAAATACGTCCCAGCTTTAATGAGGAGTATCAGTTGCTAAGTTAGACTAGTTTCTGTACATATGTACTCACCGAGGTGACTGAAGATGAGCTGTTTTTGTGAATCGTTCATCTCTCTTATCCTGTTGTGCAGTCCTCCCAAAAGCTCTCGGTTGAATTACTATGGTTTCCAGTAAGAGGATCGACGACTACTTACCAGGAAAATGTGGATAATAAAACAAATTAAAATAAATGACACCAACTATAAATCTATCCCTAATCGTAACCCTAACCTTAATCCTAACCCTAATGCGAATTATAACCCATATCCTAACCCTAACGAGCTATTAACACATTGTTCAAAAAGTACTTAGAAACGTGATCTGGGTGAAATTTGCTGCTTAGCTGGTGAAAGGCGTTGATATTTCAGCTATGATAATGACGGGTGCTATTAGCCAACGACTCGCATGCGTTCAAGGTCATTGGAGCGTTCGCACCACCATGGGAGGCTATTGTTCAACTTCGCCAAATGAATTATACAGTGTATAGGCTTCTAATATGATGTACGTGGAGGCCTCATTTTTGTGTTAGGATTGGTTATTGATACAAAACATTATAATCCGTTATTCTGATGTGCCTTTATTCCTTCACCAGAATTTCTGTGAGTAACAGTTTAAGGATTCACTAATCCTGTTGACTGATTGACTTTATGATGAATGTAGATCCTGATGATGGTGATACTGATGATGACAGCCACAACGTCCAAAATTTAAAATGGATGCTGGTCATAATCTTCATTGAAAGTTTCACCTTAACCTTAACTCGACCCTAATCCTAATCATAACCTACTCTAACCCTAACTTTACCTACATTAACGTCAATCGTAACCCTAACTCTAAAGTAGGGTGAAACTTACTATGAAGACTATGAAAAGCATCCTTTATTCTAATGTTGCGCTACCAGATTGGTTGGTTCAAGGTAATCTGGCTGTGGTATCTAATTTTCACTGTTGCCAATTTGGTAACGCTGACACGTCTGAGAGCTGATTGGACACAAACAGGCAACATGAAGCTTTCCTGATGCTGCGATAAGCCATCCATACATATATATACATATGAGCATAAAATCAGGAAAATGCCATTTTATAAATGTTCAACCCACAAACTCATTTAGAAACAAGCTTTGTCTGTTAAAGGATCCTGACAGTGGACCCAATTAAACAAAACAATTAAGTTCATCTAATACCCTACCTGTAATGCTTGTCAGGTCAAATACATAGATTAAAGTAGTAGAACAGGTGTGGTCAGACTAGAGGAGCACAAAAACCTAGCAGCAAAATCTAGATTGGTTGACCGGACACTAAGATAAGAAATCTGGAGAATAGTTCAGCTATAGCACAATATGTAATTACATACAACCATACAATAGAAGGGTATAAGATGACAGTTTTAAAATCTAATATAACGGAAGGGTGGAGGGAGAGATTGATAGCGGAAGCTTTATTCATCATTGAATCAACTGCAAATACCTGTAATAGGAATGACTCAACACCTGTCCACCTTCCCGGATATCTCGAAAATTCTACTACCCCTACGATGGCAAGTAGGAGAGAACAAAGAAAACTATAAAACTCAAGTTTCGAAGTCGTGTGATTATAATTGATGAAATGATTATGAACAATAAAAAATTTTGTTCGAAACTGTGTCATTCAGTAAATAATACTGTTTCACACTGTGATATATCTAATTGACAAACTAATATGGAATTACTTACTACCACAGTGTCCAAGTTTTACACATATATTAATTGAACTTTGAAGTCTACGGTGGGTAGATAGATATCTGACTATGCCATAACACTTACTGTTTGCTGTACAGACTACTAAGAACTTTTGAAGCCATCCAAATAAACACCTCATAAAAAATTCTACAAATTCATTATTTAATTTCAAATACCTGAACAACGTGCGTCGGTGGCGCAGCGGTAGAATGCTCGCCGACCATGCGCATGTGGTCCGGGGTTCGATCCTCGGCCGACGCACTCCTTTACCTCTGTAAGACAGTAATAAGACTGGTCAAGAGGGAAGGTTGGGTATGAGACTAGCAAACCTATCCCGTAAAAATAAACACCACTGCTACTGAAACCTCAAGCCTCTCACTTGAAGCCCTATGTTCCACTAGAAACGTAAAGGAATAAAAAAATATAAACAACACTTTTTTCAACAACTAGTCTGTAGGGATTGTATCTGTTTCAGTTTAGAACACAGATTGATATCAGTTAGAAAACCTTTGAAAACCAGCACGGAGTACTGGACAGCCGTTTCGTCCCGGTCTGGGACTCGTCAGTACCCAACCACAACCAGGCTTCGAAGCCAGGACCTTCCGGTTACAAGGCATACTCGTATACCATTCATCCATTGGGACCTGATTCAATGGTCAGCCCATGAATTTTAGATGAATCTAAATAATGCGTTAATTATGATATTATGTGGACAATAACAAAGCTACATTAAGCATCGTTGTTAGGTTATGTCATAAAACCACTACTAAAAATAAAGGCGACAAGATAGTTGTGGCAAACACAAAAACACACGGTATGAGAACGCACCAGTGACCTTGAACGCATACCATTTGTCACATTACAGAACCTACCGTTTGTTTACGGGAACCATTCAACATAATGTGACGAAGTAAAAGTATCATAGCCAAAGTTGACGTCTTTCAAAGGTTGACCTTCAAGAACCAGTCAGATAGAAAGAGTGCTATGAAAGATCATTCTAAATCAAGTGATGCCTACCTTTTTTGTACTTGGAGTGGATAGATACATTATTCTACTTATTCCTTAAGTACTTTTTCTGTAAATCTGTCAAGAAAATTGTTTGTCAGTAAAAGCTCATAAAATTGTATTCTCAACTTCTAGTTTTTCTCAGTTCCATGTTGTTTTAATCTACTAATCATACCCATAAATGGTAACATGAACTCACGCAAATGTTTATTTGACCTTCTAAGCCACAGCTGTGGAGTGCTTCAAGAAGGAAATGAAGGGGAAGTGTTGTAGAGGATTTAGTGTTGTTTCAAAATAGAAAGACATACGTCATCCAATGGCCAGCCCATGAATTCTAACTTCTCCCAGGTTTTCCAATGGTTCTCTAACTGATGTCAGCTCATGATGAAGTTCTCCAAACAATCAAACAAAATCCCTACAAAGCCACTACTTGAAAACATCATAGTCAAAGTCAAGGTCTTCCAAAAGTTGACCTTCAAGGACTCATCAAGCACACAGGAAACACTAAAAAAAAAGGTTATTTTAAATCAAATCATGCCTGCCTTTTCAGACTTGGAGAGGATAGATACAGTATTCTTACTTATTTACTAGGTACTTTTTCTGCAAATCTATACTCCTAGGTAGGGTTATGGCTTTTAAGATTAAAGTTTTGGGTCTAGGGTTAAGGTTAGTACTAGGGTTACAGTTGGAGAATAGTGTCAGAAAAATCAATGGTTCTCAAAATACCATGACCTACAGTCACCTGGATGAATAGGTATACCACGTATGATTCGATTTGTCTATAGATCATCTGTGGAGTGACTGGGAGACATTCTTACAACACCTAAGCTACAACTATACAGTGAAATATCATGTTTGCAATATTTTTCAGTGTATTTTCAACGATTATGCAACTTTCTTTGCATCTGAATTCTGATTGGTTGCTCAAGGTCATTGTGATTTGGATAAGAATAATGAGACACATTAAAGACGATATTTCACCCTGACGTAGGTGATAAAAAAAACATCCCACTTGCAATGAAGATTATCAGTTATCAAGTTTCGTAACTATCAAGACGGTTGCATCTATGTGAACAACGAAACACTCTCCTCCCATTTATTGATTTATTTATTTACATAATAAATACAGATAACAATAATAACAGAAACACCCTAGGCCTAATAGCTATCTCAACCCTCACATGTTATCAACCCATTGTCCAAACAGTATTTGAAAATGAGATCAGGATAAAATTCGAACATCAGTTCGCGCACAGTGTGCATAATGTTCACCAGGTCGGAACACCGTAGAGGACATAGCAGGAGAGTTCAAAAGTCAAGGAGAAACCGTATTTCTGTTGAGTACTGCTTCTCAAACCAAATCATAAACTCCTGGAACTGACTCTCGGAAGGAGTGATGTCTGCGGCCCTAATTGATTCATTCAAGAAGGGTTTGGACATACACAGAAATTTACTAGAAAACGATTAACATTGGGCTCCAAGCCTTCTATCTTCAATCAACATATCTGAATCTGAATCTAATAACGTCATGTTCAGTAAGGAATGCGTTCAAGATGTGTGCATTCGTGCGTTGACACTCCGTGGTGTCACTATTCTTTTCGTTGGCCATAGTTTTTATCAAAATTATAGGAGTTTTAACATAAAAAAATCTAACCTGAATGATCTTGATCAATTGCAAAAAATGCTTCAACAAATGCATCCATTATTAACATGAACAATTTGATAAATTTGATAGACAATAACGATTAGAGATTAATCCACAAAATTATTTCCAGTCGAGTATTACAGCAACAAAAAAATAAAGGAATGCTTTTGGCGCTCTAGACAGTAGAGTTTTGCATGCAAATGTGACTACTGCTAAGCGCTTGTCGCCCACGTGTTTTTCTTTTGAAGGACATTAAAATCATGTTTATTCAAGGTGAAACTTCTGCAAATTAACCAATGAGAATCATGCTTTAACCTGAACGTATTGTTACCGGATTGGTTGATATTTATTTTAATGGCCATGAAATTATCCAATCACGGGCTGAATTAATGCAACACAAGGCATGATTCACCCACGTTTTTTTGTAATGATTTTTGTTGTTGTGTGTACTGTACGAAAAAACATGTTTCGTCTTGTTCGGTAGAAACATATCATAGTGATGAACCCTTGGATTTGTTTCAGTTTTCAATAAAATTTTCGGCTATAATTATTATTTTATTTTGACGACTCTTCATTGAGTATGCTCATTAGCAGTTAAATATGTTCGAGACAAGAGTAAACAATAGACACCAAAGTCAAATGACCTTGGTTTGACCAGTCAGATAGCTCAGCATTACAAATGGTTGCTTGTCATAATCCTCTTTGAAAATGTCTCCTAGATTTGGCTTTTGACTTCTCTGTGGAAAATGTGTTGATAGGGATAAAGAATCTGCAAAAGTATTGCCGGGCTATTGATGGTTAAACATTCAGATGCAATCACTTTATATGAGGAAGTTTGTATAAGTTGGTAGGTCGTACATAACTGATGATTTTTTTAGACACTTTCTTCTCGAAATCATAGCTCTACCCTAGTAGTATATTGCGTATATGAAACCAGTATCTGCTACAGCTGGAGAAATAGAGAATACATTGGTTCGATATGTCTGTAACCACTTCTATGAGAATCTCGGACCAGTTTATGCAGCATATTAGAGATATATACCCTATATGATTCATTTTTATTACACACATATCGTAGATACATTTCCTTGTAAATTAAGTACAACTTATCACCTAGAAGGATCTGATTGGTTGTTTTCAAGGTCGTCTGAAGTTGGTGTCTATTCTTTACTGTTGCCATGTTCGATTTTCTTTCCTTGACCTCATATTGGCTTTTGACTATGTTCCAGTAAGTCTTTTGTCAAACCGACTGAGTCCTGGATTGTTCACTGGTTGCACTTATGTTTCTCAAACAGAAAGCAACATACTGGATATGTAGGTTAATCTTCCTCTTCCCTGTTTACTGAAACCGATGTCTCTCAAGGTGCTGTTCTCTCCCTTCCTCTTTTTTATTTCTTTTTACATGACTTGCCTTGTTCGGAAGAAATTGGTTTTGTTAAATATGCTGATGACCTTACTTACTGTCTCGTTGTTAATTACTTCCTCAGCTGACTGTTCCAAACTGAATAGCTTTCAGTCCGATATTAGCCAGTGATCTAAGCTTAATGGTCTTACACTGAATCTTTATTAAATGTCACACAGTTAATTTCACCTTCAGAAATAAACGTGATCTTAATAAACGTATAACGGTAGGTAATTCCCTAGAATTATTGGTCATAGCATTCATCAGTGAACATTGGATGCTGACCGTCACTGTTTAAGTCAATTTGTTTAGCTGAAGGCTTACGGTCAAGCATCCACGCCATTTTGCACGCCATTGTGTTACATTCGTTTCTTCGTTCGTTCGTGTACGATACCTAGCTAGTTAAGCAATCATCTCGCACTCCGAATTGGTCCCAAAATATAATTCGGAAATCGGCCGAGCAAATAAAACCTTGCAGTTCAACTATTCCAAGACTGTATGGACTGCCTAAAGTGCATAAGGAGAATGTCCCACTTCGACCGGTCATAGACATGGTTAACTCACCATATCATCAAATCGCGAAGTGGCTAGCTGATATCCTCGAAGCAGTTCAAAGACATATGACAAAATATAGCCTCAGAGATACATTTGACTTCATCGACTCAGTGAAGGATGTCAACGTGTCTGAAAGACAAATGATCTCACTAAATGTCGTCTCTCTATTCACAAGCAACCCCCTAACTGAAACAATATGCTTCATTTGTGATTACATCGAAACCAACAACCTAGAAGTTCCTCTCCCAATAAACTACCTGAAGGAACTTCTTCTCAGATGTACGTCCAATATCCAGTTCAAATTCAATGAAAAGTTCTATGTACAGAAAGATGGAGTAGCTATGGGGTCTCCTCTCGGTCCACTCCTAGCCAACTGCTTCATGGCGAGTCTGGAAAACAACATCCTCAATCCCTTGATAAGTCAACTGCACTTATACAAGAGATACGTAGATGACACGTTTATAATCTGTAATGAAAATTGTGATTTAGATTCTCTCCTCAAAACCTTCAACGCAGCGCATCCATCAATAAGTTTAACCTTAGAAAGAGAATCGAACAACGCATTTCCATTCCTTGATGTACTACTCACCAGACGACACGACTGTACGATCCAAAGATCAATATAACGCAAGTCAGCACGGACTGGACAGTTTATCAACTTTCAGAGCTTCGTCCCACTAATCCGAAAGAGAAACCTGATACGTACGTTGAGCTCAAGGATTAGAAAAATCTGCTCGGAAGACATGGTGGAGAATGAATTAAATTTATTACGTAAAATCCTACTAGAGAATGGATATCCACCAAGATTTATTGACAGAAACATGAAGGAGAAGCCTCCGATGTCAAACATCGCAACGGTTCCTAAGAAGACTCTCTTCATGAACCTAGAATTCAAAGGTGATGTCGCAGCGGAAATTCTCAGAAACCGCCTTTCTAAATGTCTGAAGAAGACATTTTCAACAGCCACTCTACGCATCACATTCTCCTGCAGACAGTTAATCCAGTCTAACGCTAAGGACAAGATACCGCTTTTGGCCACCTCAGTGTGTATTTATCAATTTACTTGCTCGTGCGGAGCAAAGTATATTGGCCGTACGCAACGTCAAGTTCAAAAACGTATTCTGGAACACTGCCCCGCTTGGTTGGCCAGAGGAGAAAAGAAGAATAGCAACAGCTCGATCCTCGAACACCTTGTCATCTCTGGACATCGAGCACCCCCACATGAATGCTTCACAGTGTTACACAGAGTCGCTCAATATCGTACAAAGGGACTTCGGATTCGCCATCTGTACATAGCCGAAGCATTAGCTATTCGAGATCTAAAACCGGATCTCTGCATACAAAAGCGATACATACATTCTCTTGCCTTACCATGGCCAGAGTAAAGTTCTTATCACAATTTTGCTTCCTTCCTTTATTATGTAAGTTCACTATTATTACCATTATTATTTTATTTTATTAATACTTTTATTATCATTTTGTCCCCATCGTCCACATTTTATTACCACTCTATTACTGTTTATTAATAACATTGTTTTTCATACATATTTTATACAAAAACACTTTATAGCCTTTCCACTAGTTCCTGTCCATTTTACACGAGATTATTGATTATTCACTATCTCACACTTATTACGTCATGCCAACTTCTGTCTCCTTTCTAACTTACAATTAGTCATCCCTTCTTACACCTTACATTATGTAATACAATTTTCCGAGGACAAAATTTACCAGTATCTGATTGGTCTAAAGATTTCTTTGTTAATTATAATTACGATTGTACACCTCATGAAAATGAATCGTCGAAAAGAAAATTTTCTTATCTGTCCTTCGTTTGCGTCCCAGTCATTCGTCGGCTAGAGAATGACAAACATAGGTTTGCTGCGTAAAACGTTCTCCGTAAACTCCTGGAAAGTCTCTGGAATAAAATCTCACTTGACAAATCACCATTAAATTGTAACTTAATAAATAGAGGTTTTTTACGTGCAGTCACAGTCTCAGGTTTTCTCTTTGATGTTTTGATATGTTTCTTTATGAAACTACTCGGATAGCCCTTCTCCGTCAAGGAGTCATGAATATATTCAAATTCCTTTTGTAAGTGACCATCCGTACATATCTTTCTTGCTCTGCTCGTAAGACATTTAACAACATTTCTTTTATTTTAATGTTCACGTAACTACGGAAGTGTGTGTATCGCCCTGTAAATGTGCTTTTTCTATATACGCTTCTCCCAGGTAACCCATCTTCTCGACTACTTAGCAAGACATCAAGAAAATGTAGTTTACTATCCTACTCCCCTTCACAAGTGAATGTAAGCGAAGGGTGATTGTTGATAAATTTCATTTTGCCACATCTATGGGCATTTATCAATTCAACTGCATCTGCGGTGACAAGAAAATTCATTCTACTACATATAAAAATGGTATCTCTGAAAAAACAGCTAGAATATTGAAACCGTTTGAAATAGATGTATAGATATATCGATATAGATATATAGCCAGCCACCTCAATCACTTCATTCGATATTGTGAAAACCGAAAGATCCACACAACAGGAAAAGGAGGTAAAATTAATACCATTTACAAAATAAATTGCATGTATGAAGTGTAACAGACATTACATCGGTCGAAGTGGGTGCCCCCTTCGAATCACAATGCAGGTACACAAATCAGCTGTGAAAAGACGTGAAATATATTCCTGTTTCATATCAATGCATACAGACAATTATGGATATCAATTTGATGATTGGAATAATGTTGAAATTTTAGGCAGAGGAAACACCAAAATTACCAGGGAATTCCTAGAAGTCTGGTACTCAAACGAATATGCAATTAACAAACACATTAATATAGACCAAATATACCAACTAATAAAAAGTAAATACCATGTAACGAGATAAGCGTCGGTAACGAGAAAGTTAAAAATTCGAAGTTAATAAAAAATGATCAATAAAAACGTAAAGATGGTTACCGGGAGACGCAATTCTATCTATCGCTCATAAAGAATTTAAATCCGTTGTCTTTATGCTAAAACTTGCGCTGAAAGGGGATGTTGTCCAGAAGACGGATGACGAAAGCTCCTCAACTAAACCAACCAGCTCAGAGAACACAACTAGTTGCAAATAAGAATAAAGATAATTAATATGATATACTAGGGAGGTAGAGTTGAAATGGATGAATTACAAAACTTTTAAAGATTATTAAACAAGTGAACTGGTATAAAGATTTTAAAATTGTAGGTCAAAT